TGACGACGCATTGTTTGTTTACTGTTGTTATTGTTGAATGATGTGAGCTATATATGCGATGTATTATGCTGATCTTGCTGAACTAGATTGATGTGCTGATAGCTGTAGTTGTTTACCATTTATGTATTTATTTATATGTATGTTGATTCTTTTCACTAGCTTACCCTTTGTTGTTTTCATGTGGTTTGAACTGCAATGATCATATTATGTATGGGAGCATAGCAGGGATAGGTTGGTGTGTAGAGGTAGATCTGTAGCTGACAAATGCAGTGAATGTATTTTTTAATGTTTTTGTTGTTTTGACTACTTAGTGTAGCAATATAGGTCGTATTTTGTATTCTAATTTTATTTTAAGTCCCAGGCTAGACCTTATATATATTTTAGTTGCTTATATATATACATGCTCTTATCTGTGTGGTGCTATGGTATTTTGCTATGTGACGACGAGGCGGTCGTTACATGAAGAAGTTATAGCAAAAGTACATTTGTATTTGTTCGATCAAGTGACGGCACTTGAATGATAAGAAAGAATGGCAATGGCAAGTTTAGAATAAAGACCCTAAATATCAATTTTAAACTTTAAAGAGTTATAGATTTCACAAGCTCAAAGAAGGATTGGATAGAACAGATGCTTAACACTTTGGAGGGTCAAATTAAAGAATTGAACATCGTGACAGTGACAAGATTCGTACAGTAGTTGAATTCTTGAATATAAGGTGAAAAACGACGAAATTTGTATGCAAGTTACTACACTTGCGGTCCAACATTTCGTAAGCCAAAATTGACATTGTGGCAGCTTTATATGTGGAATGAGAAATATTTGTCGTTTAAAACGATTCAACAATCACATTATGAAGATTTGGATTTGATATCTTTGAGTTTTCAAGAAACTCAATGATTGCATGTTTCAAAGATTTTCCCTGTGCTCCTCACTCACGCTTGTAATTAATTTTGCCAATTGCAATTTGCAGCACTCGTGAAGGGTCCACTTGGTGCTGCTTTTTCAACTATAATTATAAACCACGTGTTTAGGGATGGTCAACAAATCATGCCCATGCCCATTGCCCATTGCACACGACCAAATTTGTTCTTATAGTAATTCTTTTCCTTAATCCATTGTGAGCAAAACTCCTCATGGATTTCAAAAATAATTCTTGATGAAACAATTTGAAAAGAAAGAAGTAGAAAAATAAATAAATTTTGAGTTGTTTGAATTAAGAGACATGAAAAAGAAAAGAAAAAAAAATGTGTTAAAAGAAACACATTTACCTATTGATATATTTACATAGTCTATATTTACTATATTAATAAATGTCGTATGTCTTTTTGATATACACATTCTATTCATCATTTTATTTCTTATTTCTATTTAACTGTAATTATTTTATTATTTATTTTGTTTTTATCTTTTAAACAAAATACATGAAAGCATAATTTTTTTTTGCACTAGTACAAAATAAAAAGAATAAATATATCATTTCATTTTTTTTAATTGGAAATGCAAAATTTTTGCAAGTTTTTCCTACAATCTCTTTACTCACAAAAAGTTTTTTTTATAAATTTTTTTTTACATAAGTGATCAACCAATTTTTATTTCTCATCTCCCACCTACTTCCTTGTCCAAATATCAACAACAACAAAAAATTCTCTTTTACACTTATATTTACCTACTTTTCTCTCCTTAATATAATCTCAAATAGGAAATGCGCAAGACTATATTATAAATGTGTGTGAGAGTGTGAAAATTAATTAAATTATGGTACTGGATGTCATACTAGTTAATTGTTTTTTTTTGGATAAATTTTTATAAGAGATTTTCTCTCGCTCACAAGTTGTTGTGTTTGGATAAAAATATTTAGAAAATTCAAAGTTACTGAAATTTTGAAGAATATTGATTTAAATTTTCTATATTTATTAAATTCATTGATGGAATAAATCAATATAAATATTTTAAATTTTAAATTCTTATTTTGCATAGGAAAAGTTAATTTTAATCATATAATTATATATATATATAATTAAAATATTTTAAAATTAAACTTAATAAAAGAAATGTTAGCTAATTTTAAATGTTTAATAATTAATAAATTTAAAATATTTAATGATTTAAAAATCATTGATACTTTTTAATTCAACATCAATGAAGTTTTAGTAGACTTACTCATCCACTTAATAACTTAATTATATTCTATATCAAATTTTAATAATTCAACTGTTAAATTAAAAAATTTTAATATGTAGATTAAGTCTGCAAATTTTAAAAAATAATTGAAAATCATATGCTACTTCTTAATGTAGATTCAAACCAACGTATAAAATGTTTTTATAATTATCCATCAATTTTAATTAATAAAATGGAGTAGCAAATAGTTTTCAAAATTTTTAAAAATTTGCAAACTTTGTGTATTAAGAACTTTTAATTTAACTGTTGGATAATTAAAATTTGAACATTAGATATTAATTGGTGCAAAATGTAGGTAGACTTATTTTAGAGTAAATGGATCCTTTCTCATGTGTATTTCAAGCTTATAAATTTTTATAAAATTTGAAAACTATTTGATATTTATTTATAAAAATTCAAATTAATGTATAATATATACTTTTGTAAATATTATACATTAATTTGAATTTTTATAAATAAATATCAAATAATTTTAAAATTTTTTAAAATTTATAGACAGGATATATTTATCAAGAACTTTTAATTCAACAATTTGATCATTGAAATTTAATGTAGTCGTTGAATTATTTAGTGGAATTATCTCCAAAGCCTCTAGTATATGTTGTTGGAGTTAGCCCTAGTAACCAATCTTTTTATCCGTATCATGACTTTGATATAAAAATATTTTAATCATTTCAGTTATTGTATCATTATAGCATATAATGTCCTAAAAATAAATTGTTTGTTTAAGATATATCAAGTGAGACTTGATTGTGAGATTCTTTGAATAAAGAATATTATTGTGAAATTATATGTAGTAAAATATTAATATTAATTAGGATGACAATAATACATTGATATTATTGTGTAAGTTGACTTATGATCGTATCTTACAAGTCATAAATACGAGATATTGAGTTACACACAAATATAAATATTAGGAGTAATATTTATATGGGATGGACCCACTATGAGAAAACTTCATAATAATTATGCAAGTGTCATAAATATTTCTCATGACAACCATAGTAGAGTAGTCTTTTGACATGAAGATACTACGATCCTTGAATATAAGAATTGCAAGCTTTGATGTTATCAAACGATATCTATAATAAGATAATTATAAAAGTAGTTAGTTGACCTATAGTGTATCATGTAGATGAATTTGAGTAATGTAGAAAGGATTCATCCCTCCTACATAATGAGAGTTATACTTTGGACCTCTCAATAGAATGAGATGTGAAATAAGTTTGTCCATGCAAGAATGAGTCAATATAATATGATATATTGAGCTTATTTGTGCTTGAATGTCTAATTAGGTATCGAGAAATATATGATGAACTTAACGAAAATGACATTTTTATGTCTCATGTTCAAATTAAAGGCATATGGACAAAGGGACAAATCACTCTAGAGTAACTATGGTCACGAAAGGTTGGAATCGGATCATAGTTTTTTTTCTTCTAATTAAATGGGTACAATGATAAATTGCTAAATGTCAATATTTATCTATAATATTTAACATGATATTTAAATAAACCTATGAGGTCACATACATTGGGTAAAACCTTAGAGCAAGTCATTAAATTAAATGAGATTTAATTTCATGATTGATTAATTAAATAAGATTTAATTAATTGACAATAGATTTAATTAAACTAATATTTTAGCCTGTATAATATATATGCATGTTTATTATATATAATTAAAATTTATAATAAATTATATATAAATAAATACTATGTTTTAATATATAAATCATATTTAAAATTAGTATGCATATATATTTTTAAATATATAAATTATATTTTAGATTTATGATAAATGATTTTTTTGTAACAAAAAATTATTTTTATTTATTGATATTAATATTTAATTAATAAATAATTATAATAACTAATTAAAATTAAATTAGATAAGAAATTAAAAATAATCCCTATAAACCCTTTCGTTAAAAAATCGTTAAAAATACTCTTATGTAAGAGAAAAATTTGTGTTTAATATAGAGAGGTTAATATGATTTAATTAAATTGGACATGAAATTGAGCTTATATTGTATAATTTCTGTTGGATGCAAATTAGGTTATTAACCAATAGCATATAAAAGGATGTACTAACCTAGCTAACTTTGCAAATAACAAAAATTAAGGTTTTGTATCATCTTACAAAATTACTCTCGTCTTCTACGTGACTAGCACCAAACTTTGCTCATGTGTTGCTTGTGGAGACCAACTAGAAGGCACCATGCTTTTGATGCTTGGTGATTAAATGATGTTCTTTCATTCAAACAAGGATTTTTCGATGGAAATTCTTAAAACATGTTTTAGAGGTAGAATATTCTAATCCTTAATGTGATTTTCGGTAATATGTTATCTACAGGAAAAAAAATTCGCTCATGAGTTCCTTTAATAAAATTAAATTAAAACTTTTTTTTTTTGTGAAAATTTACTCCATAAAACCTCATAAGATGTTAACATACGTGTTCTTTTTCAACACCCCATCATTAGAGAAGATAAGAAAAATTTTGAATTAAGACTTGAAAGATCAAGTAATCTAATTATTTCCTATTAAAAAATAATACATAGATAAATGTACTCTTATGCTCAAATCATGCTTTTATATTCTTGATGATTGGATATAAAATTTTATCATGATGTTTATCTTTATTCAATTTCTCCTCTTCAATTTCTAACACATTGATAAACACAACTTCTTAGTTGGAATGAAATTATGCCTTCACATTCAAATTTTTCACCATGCAAACACTACATTTGAGTAAAAATACAATGTTACTAGCAAAATAAATGAGTAACACTAACAAGCAAAATCATTCCCTCACAACATGAGTTATATATCACTCAATTTCACCTACTAACAGGTTAACTAAATTGATTACTCACCTGAAAACATAAAATAACATATTTAACATATTTGACTTCCAAAATATCAAACAAAACTCTCAATTTTAACAGACTTATCCAATATCAACAAAAAAAAATGTGCTAACATAATTTTATGCAACTGTATGTACATTTGTTGTAGGAGTTGAAGAAGCTACATATAAACAAAAAAACAACTACACCAAAAGACATAATACAAGATCCAATGATACACAGATAAACAAAAGAAAGAAAAAAAATATCTTCTGCATTTTGTTATGACACAACGGGAAGGTTGCAGAATCAAAACTCTCTAGTGTTTTGAACTGAACGCTTAATGTGGTGGTGGTGGTGTAGATTGAAGACCAGCCATATAATCATCACCATGTGGTGTTTCCAACCCATCATAATGTGAACCTTCCCCAACATATTGCTGCACCACCAACACTGAAGCAGTGGCTGCAAAGTCTGAAGATGCAAGCAGGTCCCCAATTGCACCAATCTCAGGGCACTCACTCCAATCAGTGATTCCTGCAGTGAGTGGTGAAATCATCCCTTGGCCTCTTCCAACAATGAAAAGGTCATGAATGTCATCCATTGCCCTTATTGCTGCCACTGTGTCCTCCCCATTGTTCACCATCTTCTCAACATACTCAACGGAAGCATCATCACCACACGTCATTCTAAACTCATGTAGGAGCTTCTCATCAAGGTTCTTTTGAATATCCTTATCTGTTTGCACTGTCAAAACCCTAGGTTCATCAGGGTTAGGGTCTGTGTCATTATGTTGCTTCACTGGCTCAGATGCTTGATCACCTGGGATAAACCTCATTATGGTGAGGCTTATCCCTGGATGTTCCACCATTCTCCAACCATAGCACAAAGCCTCTCTATCATCTGGTCCTCCAAAGAACAACACAGCAAGATGGTGAGAGATTTGGTTTGCAGCCAAACGGTTTGAGCCACTCAAGCTTCTATCAACAAGAATCCCCACTGAGCAAGGTGCGTTTGCAAGCACATTCTGGTTGATGGCTCTATAAGCCATGTTTGTGGCTTCCATGCCACCATCCACCGTTTGTTGCTTGTGGAAAGGAACTATTATGAGGGACACACGTTTATCTGCTGCCAAGTTGCATATGTCTTCATGCATGGTGGAGTAAGGGGAGATTGCTGTTAAGGGCTGCACTGAGATGAATGAAGCGTGTTGCTCGTAGTTTTCGAAGGCTTTGATTATGTGGTCTGATTGAGCCTCGGTTCTGTTGAGTGCAGGAAGGTCTGATTTTGTAGTGTTGTGGACTATGAGCATGGCTGATGTACGGCCACTGAGTTCCACCAAGTGGAGAACGTAGACACATATTGGGGAGTTCTTTGTGGGGTTTGAGGCTTCAAGGAGGTTGATCATTGTTGGCACGTTGCGAGGGGTGTGGACACAAATTAGGACTCTGAACTCAGCATCTGATTTTGATATCTCAATGGTTCTTCTTTTGTAGTATACGGAATTCCTTGATGGCTTGTAAATGATTGATATGGCAGGTACGATGATTCCAGTCATTATCACGGTTATAACCACCATGACTGCAAATGATTCTTCGTCAAAAACCTGAACACAATCAATATGTATGGATCACTCAGAAAGAGAGGAATTAAGGGAGTCAATAGCATAATTCTCCTCACAATTTTTTTCCTACCAGTTCTCCTTTTTTATTTATTTATCAAGTTTTGAATGCTTTTATGTAGTAAATGAGAAATTGTTTGATAAAAACTGTTTGAATACAGGTTTAGACGTGTTTTTTTTTAGAGTTTCTCTATTAAAAAAAAATACTTTTTGGTATAGAAATTCTCATAAATATTTTTACCTTGTATTTAAATAAACTTAGTCACCAACTATTACACATTTATCTAAAAGTTGTTGGTCAAAATGAAACTCTACCTTGATTCTTCAAGTTCAATTTTTATATGGACCAAAAAAAGATATGGTTGAAGGAAGAAGATTTTACTAAAAGTGATCAAACAAGTTTTTCAATAAAAATTAATTATTAATAAAATAATAACAAAATTACAACAAAAAAAAAATCACATTAGTCTCTATCAACTTTCACGTGACATATAACATTCAATTACTTGTCACTTAGAGATTGGTCAAGATTATGATGATTTTAAAATATGTAATAATTTCTCGAACCAAAGATATTATACATGCATTTTATTTTTCATTTAATACTTTCTTGTAAAACGTCGGTATTAGTACCTTCTGGTCCTTCCCAACATTCAGAACAACCATTTCAACAAGGCCTTTTGTGTTCATGAGTAAACCCAGAGCTGCTCCTTCATGCATTGGCATTTGATAGAACAGTGCAACCAATATGGTTCCAACAATTTTACCAATGCAAGCCAGAAAAATGACCAGAAGAAGAACTGCCCAGGTGTATGTCCCTTGGATGAGCCCTAGGTTAGTTTTCAGCCCACTGATGGCAAAAAAGAGAGGCAGCAGAAGGCCTGAAACAAAGTCCTCAAGCTTCTCCACAAGGGTAAAACTGAGAGGCCCATTTGGGATTGACAAACCAAACACAAATGCTCCAAAAACAGAATGAGTTCCAAGGGCATCAGTTATGAAGCCTGAGATCATGACCCCAGCAAGAATAAGAGATATGTAAAACTCACTGAAGGATTCTCCCTCAGGGGTTTTCTTAACTATCCACATAGCTGTTGGCCTAACAACATAAGCACAAAAGGCCACAAACGCTGCACTAGACAATAGAACCCAAAGAGAAGCCAATGAAGTGGTTTCAGTCTCAGCCATAGCAATAGCCAAAGCCAAGAGAATCCAAGCACACACATCATTGATGAGTGCAGCTGAAAGAGCAAGCTTCCCCAACTCAGTGTTGACAAGTTTAAGCTCTGCAAGGATCCTAGCAAGAACAGGAAATGCAGTGACAGAAAGAGCAACACCAAGGAATAGGATGAAAGTGCCTTGGTTGATGTTGGAGTCAGATTCTCTGGTCAAAAGGAAGGAGAAGGCTACTCCAATGATGAAAGGCAAAACCATGCCAGCAATTGCTGAAGCCACAGCTTTTCTACCCATAGTGCGCATCACTGTTATGTCCATCTCCACCCCCACCAAGAAGAGAAAATAGAGAAGACCAATGTTTGCCATTGTTTCAATAATCATCACACTTCTTAGAGGAAACACTGCATTGGCAAATGCTTCGCTTTGACCTAGCACCGATGGACCCAACATTACTCCACCCTGTACCCATGCAAGTTCCAAAAACAAGAATATATATGTATCAGCAAACAACCAATATCAAGGTGATTACATTTCAATCTTTTAGAGCTGTTTTATTTCCTTCTCACTTTTGGTTCTGGGAACTGTTTTGTACTATAATTTCATATTCGACCTTCAATTTCTTATGGGAAATCTATTAAGTTTTTAAAATTGTTTCTAAAACGGAGAAAACTTAGTCATAGGTACTGTTGACTATTTTTAATCAGAATTAAACTTTTATTTTAGTATTCTATTTAAATTTTATGTTTCTTGATGTTGATATTGTTTTTTAATTAAAATTATAGTTTTATCCCAATAGTAAAAATAATATATTATTGAAGTTTGATTCTAATTAAAAAAAACAATACTAACATATGACAATGCATGTAAGTTTAATCCTTTTAAAAGCCAAAAATTAGAAACAGTTAGAAAATGTTTTCTCATTCTTTTCTTTTATTTCTAGCTCAAGAGTGTAGATCATCTGGTTGGTGCTGCATGTGGTGAGGCTTCAATTTGGTGAGTTTCCGTTTTCTTTGAAAACTAAAAGCAGTGTTTGGAAATAGAAATGAAACACATCCTTAATCTCTTTTTTTTTATTTTTAACATGAAATGAAAATTGTGATGATGGTGTAGAAATAAAAACTGACCAAGACTTCAGCAATAACGCGTGGCTGGCGAAAAGGCTTGAGAATGAAGACGAATATGCGGGTGGCAACCACAACTAAAGTCATTTGCAAGATGAAAAGAGGTAGAGAATAATCCAAAGGGTTGTCTCCTTGCCACACCCCATTTGTTGTTATCATGGTAGGTGCATAGCATACTATATACTCATCCGTTTTATTGCTTTTATCTCCCATTTTTGTTTTCCTATATATGAACCTCCCTTGAGGTTACAACAACAACCTTTCACTTCCTCTCTTATGTGCAAATCCTAATAGAGGACTCTTTCATGTGTCAAAACACGCATTACCTGGCTTTAATTACCAAGGCACAGAGATCATATATACCATGTTCCAATGTCGTTTGTTAATGAGGCTTGCATGCATGCAAATACTGAATGAAAATGAACATACGTGATTTAATTCTTGTTTTATTGGATTGATGAATTAACTGGGAAGGGATATGAAGTAGACGAAAAAAGAGGGAAAATAATGTAAGAAGGAGGATAATTATGCTTTGCTTTGTTTGATGGAAATTAGGATATGAGAGGAAGGTAGAGAGAAAAGAAGTGGGGTTCGTTTGGTTTTGGTGGTTCTCCACTCCAATATATGTTCAATTCTACGGCATAAGGGAAGGGTCTCTATTTTAAGAAAGCTCATCATTTGATATTTTACGTGAATGACCAACCATTGGAGCATAGAGAAGCGTAAGTTTGTGGATAAATTTGTGCACTCCGTATCGCCTGAATGAGTTTAAAAGATCTTGCTAGAATCATATTGCTTTATCTATTTATATAATAATTCGGAGTTTAGTTTAGGCTTAGAATATATGAGAGAGGGTAATTATATTTGAGGTACTGAAATCAGTTAAAAAGACTGATTCTGACCTCTTTCAACATATATGCTATTTATACACACTAATATTTCAGTCGACAAGTATTCATTTCTACCTGATTAAAATATTTTACATATTTTAAAAATATATTATATTTAAAATTCATAAAAATAAGTATCTTTAAATATATAAGTTATATTTTAAATTTATATTGAGTAATTAAATTATTATATTAGATTAATTCTATTCATTGACAATTTCTTTAAAAATTATTAAAAATTAATTTACAGATAGATACAATAGATTAAAAGAGATATGTCGTTCAAAAGATTAAGTATTTAAATAAAGGTAAAATACAACGTAATTTGATATAATTTTTTTAAGATAAATTATTTTTTTAATTATGGAGAGGTGCATGTAGTACGTGAAATGCACATATAAAGGAGAGAAAAAAATATATTATGAATATCCAATCGAGAAAGGGTCTCACTATCCAAGTTGCATACTATAATGTTAAGTGCCATTATTTTAGTGTGTATATGATGTATAAGATATATATATATAATTTATTTAAATAGATATTCAAAATATATAAATTATATTTTATATTTATGATAAATAATTTATATTATAGCACAATATTTTTTATTTATTAATTTGTTTAAATTATTAATATTGAATTTATAAATAATTATAATAAATAAATAAAATTGAATTAGATAAAAAGTTAAAAAAAATTAAGAAATCTTCTTATTAAAAAAAATCTAAAAAAAATCTAAAAAAACTCTTGTATACGATATCGCTTCATATTAAATATATAAAAGTTGATTATAATAACTATAAGAATAATCAATGAGTATATAGATCAACTAATAAGGAATTCTTTAAACTTAATTATTGGTCTTGGATTTGAAGAATAGACAAAAAAAAAGTTACAATTTTTTTTTTAAAGACTTAAATATATTTTTAATTTCTTAAATTTAAGATAAATTTATTTTTAATCTTTCAAATTTAAGGTTGATATTTTTAACTCATATAATTTTAAAAGGTCTTGTTTCAACCCTTATGGTCAAATTTTGTTATTGAACATGTAAAATACCATTTCACAAAATTTACCTATCTGTATCTTTGTTATGGTAAAAATATCAAATTAAATTCAACCGATGTTACATAATTACATCAATCTATAGGCATTAGATATGTTATTAAGACATGGGGAGATTAAAACATTCTTTTTAAATTATAGAAACTAAAGATCAATTTTAAATTTGACAGAACAAAAGCAAATTTACTTTAAATTTAAGAAACCTAAAACTTATTTATGCCTTGAATTTTTGTTCTACATGATTTTTTTAAAATATCTTCTTAATCTTGTTATTATCCTCCCAAAAAACCTAACAAGTTATTAGTTCGAACGATATTAGACTGGTCTAATTAAACGAAGATATTGTTTCCAAAAACTAACAAGTTGTTAGTTTGAGTAGTTTGAGTCTTATGTATAGAAAAAAAAAACCTAGCTTAAAGAGAAAATTTTACTAAAGATAATCAGTCATGTTCTTCAACAAAGATTAATTATCAATAAAATTGGTAAATACTTTGTACTAATAACATAACTAAAAAAAATCCACTAAAAAGAAGGGGTCTTAATCTCCTTCGGTAGCATAATCTTCAATGGCATGTATGCAGTTTTTATTTTACATGTAATTTTTTTTTTATAATCTCATGGTGAATTGCCTTTCAACCCAATCGATTAACAAATTATGTAGGTAGGGAACTGCTAAACAACACCCAAAATGAAAATACACGATTGAAGTGCACAATCAGGACAGCAAAATACACATGCAATATTCATACACGAAGAATACAAGTTTGAAGACATTTTTTATTAGAAGCAATGTAATCTGTATAAGCGTATTGACGTCAAACTAAAATATTTGCTGGGTACTCTTGTGGTTGTTTTCTTACAATCTCCTTCAGCCATTGCTCTTGTTCACGGAGATTTGATGAAGGGACATCATAAACATCAGTAAATGAATCAGCTAGTGGTGGTTTTTCTACACTCTCTGCAACTTGAATTGTATGCAGAAGCTGTGGTAGGAAAATTCAGAGTTAGTACAACAATTGAATAATGTTCTTCAGAGCCACCTAAATCAAATTCAAAACAGTTATACGATTACAATTATGGTTATTAAACTGTGTTGGAAATAAGAGAGAATTTAGAGAAGACACTATGATTGAAGGCTGAAAACCCATACTTTTCGGATTAGAATTACAACCAGAAAATAATGAAAAATTCAACTATCCATAAATTTGTAATGATCCATAAACTTTCATAATAACTTATAACAACCATGACAGTAGAAATTCTACCATAAAGTTGAATAAATTCTACCATATTGATTCATTTTCTCAACACTTCTCCTTGCATTAATAGTTATAAACTCCAAGTTTCTGTCTCAAGTTCTCAAACCTTCCTTTCAAAAGTGACTTTGTAATGATGTCTGCCAACTGGTCTTCTGTCTTACAATACTGTAATTCAACTTCCCCTTGCTTTTGAACTTCTCTAAGTAGAGTTTAACATTAAAGTACTTAGTCTTCCTATGAAAGACTAAATTATTTGAGATTGCAATCGCTGTTCGATTATATCTATGAACACCTTGGTTGAATCTATTTGAACTATTTGCAAGTCAAGAAGAATTTTTCTCACCCACAAAGCTTAATTAACAGCTACAGTAGCAGTAATGAACTCTGCTTTAGCAATTGATTGTGCCACAATATCTTTCATAGAAGCCACGGAGATTAAATCCTTGATTAAAATTAAACCAAACTCTATAATCAAGAGTTCCTTTGATATATCTAAGCACACATTTAGTAGCTTGATGAACCTCACTTGCACCATTAAGAACCTTGAGAGAACACTTACAACATGCAAAATATTAGGTCTTGTTGCTACAAGATACATGAGACAACCAACAAGTCTTTTGAAATCAGTCTTATTAACCTCTTCTATACCATCTTCCTCTTTGTATAGCTTCAGCTTATGAAACATTGGAGTACTTGCAATTTTACCGTTCTCCATCTAGAACTTCTTCAAAACCTCTTTTGCATATTTCTGCTGGTTGATAAAAATCCCCATTTCATTTTGTTTGACTTCCATTCCGAGAAAGAAAGTCATTTCTCCACAATCTATCATTTCAAAGACCTTCATCATATCTTTCTTAAACTCTTCAACTAACACTATTGTTTCCTATTGCCAAAAGATCATCCACATATAGAGACAATTAAAATCTAAGAATTCAAGCATTTGACATAGAGGACTGACTCATTGAGATTTCTTTTAAAGTCAATGCTCAGCAAGTACTTATCGATCTTGTTGTATCAGACCTTGGAAGCCTGCTTCAACCCGTACAAGACTTTTTTCAGCAAAGAAACCTTGTCTTCATGCCCTTTAATTGCAAAATCCTCAGGTTGCTCAACATATATCTCCTCTTGCAAATAACCATTAAAAAAAGCATATTTCACATCTAGCTGAAATACCTTCCAACATTTTTCTCCAGCCAAAGCAAGCACATATCTAATTGTATCAAGTCAAGACACTAGAGAAAATGTTTCAGAAAAATCAACTCCAAATACTTGAGCATATCCCTTCACTACAAGTCTGACCTTGTGATTATTAATGGAACCATCTGCATTGAATTTGGTTCTAAACACCCATTTAACACCAATAACATTTTTGTGTTGGGGTCTAGAAACCAATTCCCAAATTTGGTTCTTCTCAATCATGTTAAGCTCCTCTTGCATTGCAGCCATCCACTTAAGATCCTGTTGTGCTTCTATAAAATTTTCAGACTCTAACACATCAACATTACATCTTTCATAAATATCAAAAGCAATCTAGTTCCTCTAATAGGAGGATCATCAACATTTTCCTTTTCATCTTTTACAAAAGAAAAACCAGAGAATTGCTTCAGCTCATCTTTCTCCCAAATTCATTTTTTATCTTCAGCAAAATAAACATCTCTGCTTACCGATTTGTGGTTGAAAGACTCTATAAGCCTTTGAAGTTGTGGTATAGCCAACAAAAGTCTTAGCCTCTGACTTTTTATCTAGCTTGTCTCTTTTCACCTTTGGTACATAAGTAAAATAAATATAGCCAAAAACCTTCAAGCTTTTAACAAAAGGTTTATAGTCATACCATACTTTGAGAGTTGCCTACATCAAATTCAAAGAATATACTTGCACAAACCAAGATTCATGATTTTGACAATATAAGTGCAAGATCTTGGGTACAATTTATTTTAAAGTTCCAACGAACTAAGTTTAACAAATACATTATGTCACGTATTTTTGGCACGTGTAATTATTCAAGGAATAACTGTTTCAAGAGTCCATCATATCAAATCCAATGAATACTTGGTATTCATGATTATGATCTAAAACTGCAAGATCCACCCACAATTGTCAACAAACCAAGTTCTTAAATACCAACAAATCAATCCATCAAAACCACTTGCTACCAACCATGTCCATATAAATATTCCATAGAACATTTTAGATATATTAAACGGGGTCGGGGTGTAATTTACACTCCATTGTTTCCTCTGGCAAGAGAGAACTAAAAACAATCAGAAGTGACTTTTGACTTTGTTTTCATTTTTGTTATGGAGCTCAACACTTCAACTTATTTTTCAGACACCTTTCTAACATTGTAATTTTGGGTTACAAAATACTCTTGTAAAAAAAAAATACAAATGTATGCCCAACCTAGCTAAGGATCATGCTCCACATCTAGGTTAGTAAAAGACCATGGTATAATTGTGAAACAACACATATTAACATTAAGGACAATTAAGTAGATATCACGAGTAGTTACTATTAATAGCATACAGTAAAGTTGTTAATGGTTGCTAAAAGGTTAAGCTCATCAATCCATCCTTTTTCGTTCACTTTCGTTGAGGATTTTCTCTTCCTTTCCCTAATTTTCTTAATAGCACTCATTAGCAGTCAGAGTAGCAAGTTGCTCAGGATTTTGTTAGGCTATATGATATATTAGTAATTAGTAATTTAGTATCAAATGAAGTATCAACCAAGAAATTCTTAGAGAAGTATATCTCACCCGTTGTCTCAAATTGTTTATAAGCTCTGACTCAGCCATATCATTCCACCAGCCATTATTTTCTATCCACTTTCTAAATCTAGCCACAGGATCACGTGCCACTCTCCACCATTCAATCTCATTTGCTGGACGATACTTGGTAGAGTCATCTGATGTGGTGTGGTGTCCAACTCTATATGTAAGAGCCTGAAAAGAAAATCAGATACAACATTGACTGCCGTTAAAAACCATGATTTTGGACCACACTACCGCTTTTCTTTAAACATGCCCAAAGATTTGGCTTAGAAAGTTATCACTTTACTTCTATTAGAATTGGTCTCTCTTCAGTAACTGCCATTTGACGAGCAGCTTGAACAGCACTATAAATGGCCAAGGCATCATTTCCATCTACACGGATGCTACGGACTCCATAGGCTTGTCCTTTCACAACAACACCATCACCTATGCATAAACAAATAAAAAGTACACAATATGCCATTAGATATTGCAAGACAATGCTAAAGATATGACCAAACAGAAGAAATTTCCATAGAGAGAAAGAAAAATTACTTCGAAACTGATCAGAAATGGGAGTACTGATAGCCCATCCATTGTTCCGGCATATAAAAATAACTGGGGCCTCCGTAACTGCTGCAAAATTTAAAGCAGCGTGGAAATCTCCCTGTCATTACACAATGCATTAGAACATGACAAGCAAAAACATTTTTCTTAAGATATCAAATGCCTGAAGTGATATTTGTCTAAAATCCATACAAAAATTTCAAAAACAGAGTTTAAGTTCTAGATCCATGCTTTGTCTAAATCCATTCTGTCATGGTAATTGTATAATTTACCTCACTTGATCCACCATCACCAAAGTAAGTGACAGCACATGCATCCTTTTTATCCATCTTTAAGGAATAAGCAGCTCCAACGGCATGGGAAATTTGTGTACTATAGAACGAGGAAAATTTTGCATTTTGTAACTTTCATGATCATGGTGCAAAGAAGCATGTATTGATAGATAAATATATAGAAAGAGAAATATCAAATCTTTCACTACTTACGCAATAGTTGATGCGACTGTAAAGTAATTGTGCTTCTTGGATCCATAATGAGCTGGCATCTGCCTTCCTTTCCCATTATCATTTTTATTGGAAAATAACTGGTTTGTAAATTCCTGCAGAGTGAAACCGCGCCATAACAAGACTCCCGCTTCCCTATACTGCATGCAACAAGATTTGTTGTTAAATCATTTTCCAACCCCTAATCAAGCTATCCAATTAGTAAAAATATGATAAACTATGAGGATAAATTCCTAAAGAATGGAATTTATACTAAGAGAAATTCTTTCATATGTTTCTGTATAAAATCAAAAGTACAAAAATACTACTATTTCTAGTCCTTTTCATAAAAAAAATAAAAAGAAAAAAAGAAAAAGCTTAAGTGTATTTTACACTATAACTTGTTTCTTACAAAAAAAGAAAAAAGAAAAAAAGAAAGTAGTATTTTCTTTGTGTCATGTTTGAAACCTGAGGGAAAACGACATCGTCCATGGCAAGAGCTGCAGCTGAAGCAATATTGATAGCCTCCTCTCCAATTGCTGTCACATAAAACGATATCCTGCCTTGCCTTTGTGCTTCATAGAAGATAGTGTCCATAGATCGGAGAGTAACCATGTCAGTATACATTTTAAGAGCAACTTCCTCACTGACCTAATATTATTGATATTCGTCAATTTCATTTCAATGCACTTTCCCTCTAGACAATTAAAAAATCATAAAATGGTAGGTCAAGGATGTGAAAACCTGCACAAAGTTATGGCCCAAAATTGGCTGCCCATTATCATCAAGGACACGATAGCAGGGTATTCTCTCTTTAGAGGATTCAGATATAAACCTCATTTCAGGGATGAATTCTACTGGTCCTCCAGGAAAATCCATGACCTGCCATATGCAGTTAGATGCAAACGTTCATACACATAGCTTCGCATGATGTTCACTATAATTCAAGAATGCACCGCATTCTAATTATAGGAGGAAAAGTTGAACTACCATAATGATATAATGGTACTTAATCATTATATGAACATATTTAGTCATGTTGTTTAACACCCAAACTGAAACTATTCTAACTCTTCATTTTTTTTAATATTCCCTCCTTAAAACTCAACCCGCATCAGAATTTAACATTATGAATAAAGAATTCTTGGTGCCACTGCATCTAGAAAATGAAGGCTCAAACCATACTATCATCACAATTTTAGATTATGAATGAACAAGTCATATTACAGTTGCATTTGTGATCATCAAAGCACAAACTTAGCCCTCTTGAATTTACATTATGAATGCTACAATTGAATTCAGGGGAATTTAGGGAATCAGACTCGAATTCAAATTGAATTTACATTTTAAGCTCATCAATACTCTAACATACCATCCCAAAAATTACATCTTGAATATAAAATTACATTACGAGTTACTCCAACTTTATATCATGAATTACATAATTCACATCGCAGTTGCATTTTGGGCGTCATTAGACATATCACCAGATCATGAATAAATAGTTCATATCGTGCAGTTTCCATTAGTGTCATCATCAAGGCATCCCATCTCATTTTAAAATCATTGACAAAAGATTCATCCAGCAGTCTATGAAGGGTTATTAAGGATTAAATACAACATCCTGAATTTACACAAAAATAAAGAATTCATATTGCAGTTTTTTTTCGGGTGTAAATCATCCCAATTTTACATTACCTAAATAAGTGCACTGAGCTTGCCATTCAAGTTTTGTATCATGAATAAAGAAATCATTTAGCAATCAGATATGAAACAAAATAAAAAATAATACAGCAATTGAGCAACTCCATTCGAGCTGTATACCATCTCAACTCTGAAGTTTACAATTATGAATAAAATTCCGTATTTAGAGGGTATATTAGACTAGGATTTCAATAGATTTTAAAAGATTTTTTATTATAAAAAAGTTTTGTGATATTTAATTAAGATTTTTTTTAATATAAAAGTCATGTGACATTCAATAAAGATAATCAAAATTTTTTATAATAATATTCAATTAAGACAAATTTTTTAGCAGTTCAACAAAATATGGTTGTATTCAATTAAAATCTTTTTTTTACTTAAAAAAAAGTTTGTTGATATTAAATATAGAGATTTCAATAGATTATTTTGAATATTGTATTTTGTGAAACTTTTTAATATTATTTGCATGTGATTCACTTATCAAACAATCTTACAAAAACTTTTAAGATTTTGCATGACTTTTTTTCCCTTCTATTTCTACTCTTTTTATCTTTTTTTTTTTCTCTCTTAAATCTTTTCTCTCCTTCTCTCTCTTATTTTCTTCTCTATCTCATTTTCTCCTTTTCTTTTATTTATTTCTCTTTTCTTCTTCTCTCTTGTCTCGCACCTTTCTTTCTCCTCTTTCTCCCTCCTTCTCTTTCTCATTTTATTCATTTCTCCCATTTATCTTTTCTTCTTCTCTTATTTGTTTTATCTATCAATTAATGTATAATTTATCCATATTTACTTTTTAATTATTATATATTTAAAATATTTTTTGTATTATTAAATATTATTTATTATTAAATTATTAAAATTTAACTATTTATTTTTAATAAAAAATAATACTGAAATATAAAATTTTGAAACAATATTAAAAAGACTTTACAAATCACAATAATGACCCTCAAAATGAAAATGAAGTTTTTAATTTATATCATACATCTTTAAAAAATGTGAATAAGAAGATATTTAATATTTTTAATTCTTGTATTAATATGTAACATTACATAACTTTATTTTCAAAGAATGTTATTCTAATGAATTTGCAATTGAATTAGTAAATGAATATTGAATTAATAAATGAATCTTCATAATTTTAAACATATTCAAATTCAAGCACATAAAATAAAATGTGTCAATACATAAAAAATTAATATAATTTTAAGAAATTAAAATTACTTATTTATCAAAAAATAGTGACAATTATTTATCAAAATATATATATATATATGCTTTTTTTATTATTTGTTTTTTTATTAAATCTTATATAATTATAAATTTATGTTTCCATATGAAAACCATAAAATCTTTTAAAGTCTTATAATATAAATCAATAAAAATCCATTAAAATTTGAATTTATAAAATCTAGGTTTTAAAAGTGTTTTAAAAAAATTTAAAAAATGATATGCCTATAAAATCTATTAAAATTCAAAAGCTTTTTCATACTAAGAATATTTTTTAAAATCTAAGTCCAATAAATCGCCTAAATTCAATTTAGGTACATTATATTACGGCACCCAAGTTTTACACGCATAGAGTTCATACTATAGCTTACATTAGGGTCATCGTCATAGCATCCCATAGAGTTCTTGCAGCCAGATCTGTTGTCATCAAGGCTCGAAAGTACCATCTCATTTTACTATGATAAACAAATAATTCCTTAAAACCCTAGTAGGGCTCGATTAAGGGTCTCAAAATGCCATCAGCACTTTTCCGATTTCAGGACAAGATCATGTTCTTTAATAAACAAGAAGTCAAGAACCAGAGAATATATAACCAAACAATGTAGGCAATAGGCAATAGGCAAAAACCCGCCACAGAAATTCCAAGATCGCGGTTTAAAGAAATGCCATTTGCCTGTTACTATAGCAAACGAAGAAATTGCCTCAAAACATTGCACAAGGTTTTGGGACAGAGTGCGTTTGCCTCATGAAAGACACCAAATTAACTCAAATCAATTATAATAGAAATTTCAAAACGAAAATCCAAATCAACCAAAAGAAAAAGATGTTGCAGTGATAAAGGGCCTGAAAGATCAGAAAAAATCACATTCAGACGAGTGACACTGTTAAACTCAATATCGCAAGATAATAAGGATTATTGACTGGACTCTAGTTTCACCGAGTTCCAATCAAGAAGCTGATCTTGCTTATGATTCTCACACACTCACTCTCTCCAACTATTCGATTTGCTTTGCATCTAATCAAAGAGAACCGTCATAGATACCTCGTTTCACAAATTCAGCGTCTAACACATGTCTGTGTGATCTTTATAAAAGCGTTAGCCTAGGGTTTTTTTGGACACGGGCCCTGGCCCAGGCCCAAAACCTTATCCGCAAATCTTATTCGAGTATATTTCTGATTTGATGCCAAAGCTTATGCGAAATATAATTACGGGATAATATATTAACTATTCTTTAAAAAAATAATATTAATTATCAAATAATGCGTGCATGAGTTAACTTTTTATTTATATAGCTTAACTATTCTTTTAATTACTTTTTATTTTTATAGTTAAAATATTTTATTTTAATCGTTATATATATTGCTTTTGTGATTTTAGTCTTTATCAATTACTATGGAAAAAAATAAAAAAATTTATGTAATTATATAAACTAAAAAGATACAAAATATATGTATATAAAATATACCCAAAAAAAAACATATATAAGGTTTAAAAAAATAATTTAAATTAGAGTTTCATTAACTATATCTTTAAGATATTAGTCAATGAATTAAAATGTGGCAATTTTTATTAAAAAATTATAATAAAATTAAAAAAAAATTGCAATAAAAATATTGTATCCCTATTTCTTATTTTCTGTACTTTTTTCTTTTAATTATAAATATAAAGACTAAAAGTGTGTTTGAGACAGTTTTCAATTTCTCACTTCAACTATTTTTTTATAAAAAAAAATACAAAATAAAACTCTATCCTTTGGAGAACAGTTTAATTGTAAACAACTTTTTTTCTTCTCAAAACTATCCGGTTATTATCGATCTGAAAAACTCCAAGTTTATTTATTTTTAATCAATTTTTTTTTCTTATGAAAAGTATCAGAGGAGAGAAGGAAATCCGATTGCAGATACCGAAAAGTGCGAGATACGAAAGTACCTGATTCTGAAGAGGATCCTTGAATGCAGAAGGAGAAATGGAAGCAAAGCGACGCGAAGAGAGAAGGGAAAACAAGACCGAGTTGCGATTGTGCGTCGTGAGATTCCTTAAATTAGGGTGAAATTGATTGGAGCGAAGCGAAGCGGAGAGATTCATTTTTGATTTGAAATGAGAGAGGATGGCCGTGGATTTCCTCATCCTGCAACGCTGAGCAGAGCCACAAAACGACGTTGGGACACAAAACTGCAAAGCGGCGAGTCACAAAAAGAACTGAATCTTTTACGATATCATTATATAAAGCATATGATTAATTTATTAGTATCTGCTTATGCCTTTCGTGGATTTTCTCTGATGACGCTGAATTTGGTCCTAAAATTCATTTTTAATTATTTAATTTATCTGTGTCTAAATTATTTAATTTTTTTAAGTTGATTTATGGTATTTGAATTTTTAAAATGTAATTTAATTTGGAGCATTATTGAATTATTTAGAGTTAATCATCTATTTTTTACATTTATAATCAATCATATCTTTTATAATATTATATTATTTGTTTATTTAATTAAATAAAAATAAAATAAAATAATTTAAAAGATATGATAGATTGACAATTTTAAACATATGATTTAGCAGTAGAGATTAATTTATATTTAAGTAAAGTTAGGGATTCGAGTCCTATCTTATATATGTAATCGCGTTAAATCTCGAGATTAATTCATTGGTTTATACCTAAAATTCAGGAGGAAGAAGATAAGAAAATTAGTTATGGATGAGAGTGCCACTTAATCAGAAGAAAACTTTGCGTGGGGGCTGACTGCTGCTGATTCACTTTTATCCATCGGGATTGGGCTTATTTCCACCTACGCCCACCAACTGCTTCAAACAACTAACATGTGTCACATTTTATTGCTTGAAACAATTAACATGTGTCTCTCAAAAAAAAAAGTAACTTGTATTATTTTATTTTTTCACGGAGATTTTTTTATTTATTTTAATGGAGAATAATAGCACAAACTAAAATACGTGAAAGAAAGATACAATAAAAAAAGAGAGTCTGGGAGCTGGAGAAAGTAAACTCAAATTAGGAGAGTATGGAAGATATGCATTTCCTCTAATAAAGCGACCTCTCTTGATAAAGACGTAATGCATGGTTCTAAAGACTTATTCACAGACCTTCGGTTAGGGGTGGACAAAAAAAACTAAACTAAGCTGAACTGAACTGAACTGATGGTGAACTGTACTATAAAAAACTGAACTGTTTGTAAAAAAAACTGAACTGAACTGTTTAAAAAAAACTGAACTGAACTGAACTGTTGTAAAGTTGAACTGTACTGAACTATAAAAACTGAACTGAATTATAAAAATTGAACTATTTTTATAAAAGAATAAAAATTAAATGTGTTTAACATGTTATGTCTTAATAGATTAGCTCGATAGTCTAATAACCAAAATTTTAGAAAAAAAGTGATTTGAAAAAAAATTATATCAATTTTGTTGAACTTAACGGATCAATTGAGCTATGTTGAACTACTTATTTTTAGGCTTAAAATTCACTGAGTTTGTTTGACTTAATTTTATATTTTTTTCCTTTGAAAAATTTAAATAAAATGGAAAATAAAGTAAAGTTGACAAATGTGTCCTATTTTGATAGATTAATGAGTCAAAATTGTTCAATTCAAAATATCATAACAGTTTAGTGCAGTTTAAATTGCAGTTCAGTTCAAGTTTTTATAGTATAGTTCAGTTCAGTTCAATGACACAAAAGAATAGTTCAGTTCAGTTCGTCTGAACTAATATTTAGTTTAGTTCAGTTCATATGAACTACTTTTAAGTTCAGTATAGTTTTTATAAGTTCAGTTCAGTTCAGTTCTTTTGCCCACCCCTACCTTCGGTAGTAGGTAATAGATTAAAGATACATAACTAAAAAAATTTAACCCAAAGAAAAAGATAGCATTAATGCATGTAAAAAATGATAACGGTATTTAATTCTCACTATTTATAGAAGATGTAATTATAATTAATTATGATAATTAAAATGAATTAAAATTATAAAATTTAGATTATAATATCTCATTAAAATCGACATTAATAAGTTTTAAAATCTATAATTAATAAAATAATTATTTTGATTTAAATTTAAAATAATTTTATGAATAATATAATATTTTGAAATATCTAAACAAAATATAGAATATTTAATATGTAACGAAAAACGTGTTTTTTTTATGTTCAAACATTAAAATAATAAGTAAATTAGTCATTTAATTAATTTTGGTAGTTGCTTTTAAATTAAAATTGATTAAAAAATTGGGTGAACAAACCAATTATTGAAGAGGTAATTAGTTTGATTTGAGTTAGTTCATATTATTTGAATATTTTAAATTAATTTACATATTTAATTTTATTAATTATAACTTTTTTAGTTAACCATTTTAACAGACCTATTTGTAATTTATTTATGGATGCCACAGCCACATTAGTTCAATGGTGTGATTGGGCAGTGTGTATGAGTGGAGGAAGGCTCGTGATATATATACCTCTTTTTTTTTATAAGTACACGTTCTTTTTAAAAAAAAATTATAAAATATTATAATTTAAAAAAAAATAATAATAATTTTACACTTTTAACTTTCAATTTGTTACTTTCTTCTTATTTACACATTTTTTTTTCTCTTTCAATTTTTACATGTTATCAAAATAGGTGGGGTGAAGGAAAAATAAGGAGATATATTTAAAAATTGAAAAAAAGAGAAAAGATGTGTGAAAAAAGTACTAAATTAAATGTTGTGAATATAAAATTAAAAAATTTAAAACAAAAAATTAAAAATATTTTAAAATTTTAATTTTTTTTTAAAAGGAGGTGTACTTATAGAAAAAAGAAGAAGAAGGTGTTTAGATCATGAACCGTGGAGGAAACGTTGGGCGGGTGAGGATCCAATAGTATCCTAATTGGGCTCAGCTCTATTCTTACCCACAACCCAAGTGCTTTGACTCATAACTCTGACAAGCAATTACCATGTTACACATTCTTTCATGCAATTTCTTAACATAATTTTATTACTAATTAAAAGTATTAAAACATCTCTCTCTCTTCTTTCACTACAAAGATATTTCTTCTTATATAATTAATATTAGTCATTTGTTTAAATTATATATAAATATATTAACAAATGTAAATATAAAATATAAAATTGTTTAAATATATATTAATATTCATAATAGTTTTTATTTACTTTTACATATACATATATATACATATATATATATACTAACATATATTTATATAAAATATAATTTTTTGATTATCAATTTTAAAATATAAAAACATAATATATATATATATATTAATTTTTGTAATATCTTAAATTTTAGATACAATATTCTCAATTTTATTATTATTATATTATTCTTAAAATAATAATCTAAATTTCTAGTTATTATATTTTAAAAACAAATAGATAATAAGTACAATATTTTATATAATTACAATACATTAAAATTTTTATTACTAAATTTTTAGTAAACTAAAATAGAATTATATAATATTTATTCTAAATTTTAATATCATTATCTTATTTTTAAAATAATAGTTTAAACTTTTAGTTATCATATTTTAAAATAAATACAAATTAAATATAGAGTTTTTTTTTTACTTCAATTTTAGTGAACTAAAATGGAATTAGATAGTATCTAATTACATTATAAAATTTTAAAATTTTACTCATAATATTTGATTTCATTATAAAATTTTAAAAATCTTATTATAATTTTTTTAGTATAATATTTTAAATTTTAAATATTTGATATAAGTAATTATATTAATAAAAAAAACCTGCAGCTAATAAGTTGTAGGTGTACGAAGAGATAGGCATTATCTCTAACTAAAGAGGTAATAAATGCCTCTTAATACATTATAACTAAATTACTAACTAGATAAAAAAAAATAAAAATAAAATAAAAAATTTACTTGCCTATAAAAGGCTTACGGGGGATCATGAGAAAACGGGGAACAGAGGAGAAAATGTAGAGAGAGAAATAGAAAAATAAGAAAGAAATGAGAGAAAGAAAGAAAGAAAAGAGTGAAAGAGTCCAAACGTAAAAGCAATCTTAGATATTTTTGAGTAACTTTACTTCTCTTAAGGTAAAGGAGGAGATTTTTATCCTTTTAATTTTTATATATTATTATATTTGTTTATTTTATGTTATATTTATGAGTAATTATTTAGTGAAGTGTCCCGAACTTCATTTACTTGCTTTATCTAAAATATTTTTTTACTAGTAATAATTAATGAGATGTTCCTAGTTTATGTCATTTAACTATTTTATGATGTTTATTACTGTCATTCACTAAATTAATATTCTTTAATATATTTTATTTTTGTAAACTATATCATATTAAATTTTAAATAATTAAAAATAATCAAACTTATTTAGTTTAATTATTTTTTTAACTATAATATATTTTTGTTAAAATATCTTAAGTTCATCTTGTTATTATTTCTTCATGCATTTATAACGATAAATATTATTTTATGGCTATAAGAATAAAAATTTGAATTAATTTGTAGTTGGAGGTCTACCTTGGAGATTTAAATGAGTAAAAACTTATAAGGTGAAACAACCTTTAGTTATTTGTTATTATAATGTTTATTTATCCTCACTAGTCATTACGAGTATAATTCAAATTTTTATATCAAGAAGAATTAATATATATATATATATTAATATTAGTAAAAAAATATTTTTATGCATATTGTTTAATTATTGGTATTTATTGGATAATTATTCTCATTCCTTATTTTTCTTTGTTTTAAAATATTAATTAATTATAAATAAAAAAATTAGATGGATCTACCGGCAATACCTGACCTTTTTTCTTCTGTCATATCAACAGTATTTTTTTGGGACCAATTAGAGTGTGGATCCTGTTGCGAATCCGGTCACTTTTCATGGGGTGTGAGAAATAAGTAGTTTATAATTACATATGTTGTTGTAAATATTTTTAAAATAGTATGTAATATAATTATAAGCTAACTATATATAAACAAGTTCACAAAATCTTCCTTTATTTTTGTATATAATATTATTAATGTTATACTTGTATTAACAACATATAAAAATAATATATATATATATATATATTATGCTTAATATTATATAAATTGAGCGTTACAATTTTAATCTCAATACCATGTAAGAAACGAGTTATTACACTGATTCTTACATAAACTATTGTGTTTAATATTCATATTTTGTTTATGCTAATAACTAATTGACTTGTAATTTTTTTTCCTCTTGTAATTTCAAGTTGAATTAATTTATTTACAATTTTACTTTCATGTATAACATTTTCATCTTATGCACAGGAAATATTTAGGTCTTATATGCATATGAATCAGGGTTCAATTTGTGATGTTATGGGTGAAAGTTAAACTTGATATTGATAGACACATTTAATTTATAACTCATTAGACATAACATAAGAAAAATATAATTTTTTTTTATATCTACAAATAAAATCTACTTAATCATTGACTAAATAGAAGAATCAACCTCCCGTGTCATTGCGAAATTTGAAAATGAAAAGGCTATAAAAAACGTTTTTAAACAAACTTTTATTGCTAAACATTAAGACATTTTTGTTTAGAAAAAAACATTTTGGTCAAGAGAAAAGCAAGTTTTTTTTAATAGAAATACAAGATTCTCATATATGTTTAAATGATCATCTAGGATAATGTTTGTGGTTTTTTTCTCCTATGATAATTGTCTTATTTATTTACTTTTAGGATAAAGTTCATGGTCTTTTCTCCTTTGAAATAATTGTCTTATTTACTTATTTTTTGTGTGCATTTTGTATAGATAATTACTCTATTTTCTTCTTCATTTTAAAATTTTTGTTTGTTCTTTTCTTTTCAATTCAATAATTTATAAATTCGCCTAATGTGGAATTCAATTTTGTTATTTCAGGTCATTTATTGTTCAGTAGGTTAGAATTAACAAATTCAATTTTTTTGAAAGAAAACAAAATCTCAAAAAGAACTTGTAAGCCGCATAACAGTGTGAGGCTTAGGCATCTATATATAAGAACAAATTAATTTTAAACCTTTTAACTCGTTATAGTTCATGACCATACATAAGGCATTATATCATTACTATTTAGGATATGTCATGTTACCCATGATCCATAGTAATTATATCATTACTTTTATATAAGGCATTTCATGTTTACGATTGTAATTAATTAATGTTTATTAACACATATGGTAGGACTTGAAAATAAGGAAATTATGATGTATTATATTAAGATAAATATCAACAAATCATTAATTAAATTAACAAAGACTGAGAAAAAAAAAGTTTTAAAAAGTTTGAATTAAAGTACACTAGATTCTAACCTTTAGAGAAGATGTCATCCTGAAGTGGTAGATTAATTTATAATGCATCCCTTTCCTAAAATATAACAACTCATGAGATCAATCTTATTAATCTTGAATAAAAGAATATCATCCAAAAAAAAAAACACAAAAGATTTTAATTATAATGATATCAAATGATATTTAATAAAAATAGAGAAATGATATAAACATTATAGTGTATTAAATTTATGTGTTGTGTGTTGTATTTTTCTTTGTATTTCACTTAGCAAGAGAACTCATATTTATAACTAATAAAGAGCTAAAAACCACACAACTTACTGTAACGGAATATAAGATTAGTTATTAAACGTGCAAAAAGAACAGCACTTGTGATAACAATATTATATAAAAGATCTTTTAACGTACACAAAATAACATAAGACTCGGTCAAATCCATTAAAAGAATAATTAAATAAAGATTTAGAACATTTAATTACCTGAAATATTAAAATAAAGTTAAACTAAAAATCCAATTAATAAAAGCATTTAATTTAAATTTTAAATTATAATACAATTTTTCAATAATCCCCCACTAATTTAAAATCTAAATAAGATATCAAAATATATAATAAAAGACCTTAATTTTTTTTAATAGAGTATAACATATTATTTTTTTGGTATAAGGGATCTTCTAGGTTTGAACCCTATACCTATTGTATATGAATTTCTATCTTAGGAAAATATGGAGACTTGATTATCTTGAGTCATATCTCTTTAATCAGGCTTCGGATCATAACACAAATAATATAGATATTCATTTTGAGTTTTAATCAATGGTGTGTGTTACAACCTTTCACAGGTATCTTGTTTCGTGAATGTTACATAGAAATTTGTCCATATCTCACAACAGTGACTCTATTATCACACTCACTAGATGAACTTTTCAAATAGTGACATATGTTTGTTAGGTTCATTAAGATGTATTTTAATTCTAACACAACAAATATAAATATTTGAATACCTCGCTCAACCCGATAATTATCACAATTTAAAATATAAATATTGTCATAAGAATAAGAACCAAAACATCTTTGTATAATAAATAATTTTTTGGTGTATTTTATCCAACGACAACTTGGTTATTATCTATTAAACTTCATTCTTGGAATCAACATTTATTTGTGAATAATTTGATAATTATAATTATGAATTTAAAATTATATTCTTTTTTTATTACCGTGGCATGTTTACCCAACTGAAGATCATAATAGCACTAAACCATATCTAAAAGTTGTGTCAGAAGTGTGACGCAATCACTTTATCTATTATCCATCTTGATTTCAACCATATATAATAGTTCTAACACATTTTTCTAGCTACAACCAAATGTGCACATAAAAATATATTAATATACATTCATTATCTCAAATCACATTACAACCTTTTTGAACAAACATTCAAAACCCTCTTCATACAATCCTCTCACACATAAGGTTGTAACCCCTTTCTCTTCGTGGTCCATGAGTGGTGTCTACTTGCATCACAAAACCTCTTTCTATAGTATATATAGGTCAAAAACTATATTAATAAATGTCTTACATTTTCACTTACAAAAACTATATTGTAAATTTGTAATTAAGCGCTTTAATTAATTATTTTCACAAGGAAAACATGGGGATTATAATTTTAAACAAATTTTAATTTTTTTGAAATAGGAATTAAAACCTCAATGATAAAGACTAAAACATTACATTTACGCACAAAATATACATGATGTCATTAATCTATATGTAAAGAAAATTAACTTTTATCGAATACGTTAAATCATTTTCAAAATTGTTGATATGTTAATAAAATCCTACATTATTTAAACAAGAGAATGAACATAGATTTATATACATACAATCGTCTTCTAACGATATGTTAAAAACAAAATCATAAAATATTTAGGCCTAAAATAAACAATATTTTACTGATATAAACATATTATATATATGTGTGAGCCCAACCCTCATAGCACAACAAAAACAATGCACATAATTGAGACATTATAATTAATATACAAATTCTTATATATATATATATATATATATATTATGCTAATATATATATAATATTGGTATACATTAATTCAATTTAATTAGCTAGACATGCCAATCTCTTCCAGATCATCATCCAACCTCAGATAAAATTCGTCTAGCCATGAAAGCTCTGATCCATTCTCATCCTCATCATCGCTATAGCACTTTACACCTTCTTCACACCTCCTCTTCTCATACACTCTGCACAAAACCCACTTGCTCCAACTTTGATCCTGCATATCAGGGACAAAAACAAAATTAATTAATTAACAAATTCAATTAATTAATAACCTCATCAAACTCTGCCACCTATATTAATTAAATGGCTTAACTAATTAATTGCTTAAACAAAGTGTTCACTTACATGTTTTCTTCTTCTCCTAGCACTTCGATATGACGCCATGTCAAACCCAGAGGAACATATATGATATTCTTGCATCACCCAATTGGTTTCTGTGTCTTGTGGAGCTTCACCGATGTGGAATACCAAGTACTTCTTCATTCCCACTTTCTTGTCAACGGTTGACAATATAGGTTCTGTCATTCCTATTTCCTTCCAATACCCATTTTCTGTTGTTCTGTTTTCATTCACTTTGCTGAAGAAATAGTATTGATTTCCACTGAACAACGCCTTACCTGTACATACACATTCATCACATATGATTATGCCACTGTAATTTCTTTCTAATTCCTCCATAATTCAACTCAATACCAATACATTTACAACAACTCATGCATCCAACTGACCCACCCTCTCATAGTTATGTCACTTTATCAATAAACTGAACTATACTTTCTTATAGTTTTATATCACTATATTTAAACTTTTTTTTTTACTATAATATTGGTTTGGAATATTCACCATTCAAAATAATAACTAATATTTTTAAAAATCATGAATGTCTACAAAGTAAACATTTTTTTTCAACATAGAATCTGTTTGAATAAGTCTTTTTTTTTATATATAATAATGTTAAAAAAAAAAAAGTTTTAACATTGATTAAGGATAATGATTGAGCGATGAAACTTAATTAAACATATACCATTTAGTTCCCAAGGATCAAGGTGAGATGAATGAAGCTCAGGGATGATGTTGGGATGGCATGGTATAAGAGAAGCCTTGCAAAAGAGAAAGTGAAGAACAAGTTCTTCATCTGTTGGAGAGAAGAAGAACCCAGGAGGAAGGTTGATGCTTCCATCTTCCATTTCCAGTGGACTTTGGCACTACATTTTAGTTTTAATTTGCCACTATAAATAATGGAAACTTAAACTTAGAGAAAGAGAGAGAGAGATTTTGATTAATTATTAATTATTCAAAAGACGAGTGAGTTGCTGTAAGAAAGGCGGCGGTACGTGGAATAGCATGATAAGAAAGTGGGCCAAGGAAGTTAACAAAAGAAGCTAGCTGCTACTACATTGATAATTTAAGTTAACGTTAAATTATTAAGTTATATAGTTAGTTAATTAGGAAGGATAAGGATTAAGGCACCTGATGAGACCCAACTTTATGTTCATGCTGCTTTAAATTTTCCACGTTTATTTAATTATCGATTCTTTTCTAACCTAACTGGCACACTAGTCCATGACATTGACTATGATGAATGACATTACGGTTTCCCACCTATTCATTATTGCACTTGCATGCAAATTAATTCACATAAGGGATCTGGTGTGATATTTCACACTAATATTCTATCATTAAAGTAATAATATGATATGATTAAAGTAACTATATATATATATATATATATAAAGAGTTAGTTTCATTTTATTAAAACTTGTTTGGATAAGTTTTCTTCGAAAGAAAAAAAAAATGAAAGAAAATTAAATTAAAATAAATTTTTCAGTCAACTTAAATTAATTTATATATAAATTAAAAATAAAATTTTAAAAAAGTTAATAGAATAGAAATTCTACAAATTAGTTTATATATAAGTTAATTTTAATTTATAAAAAATTATTTTATTTTATTTTTCTTATTTTACGATCTCCTAGATAGATTTTTAGAGAAATTTACTTATATAGATGTGAGTTTTTTCTATGAGTAATGTTATTCTTGTTTTTTTTATAGCATTCTTTTAAACTCATTTTTTTTATTACATTATTATTTTTCTCTATAGTAATTTAGTATTTATATTCATGTAATATTAATTACAACAACAAAAGTTTTATACTATTATAGGTCATTTACATGGTGTTGTAGAACTCATTTATAAAAGACTAAAATTAGCATTTATCACGGTATTCCTCTTAACAATGTCTCCTGATATTCTTCTTGCTTTTTTGTTGGTCACCTTTTTATTTTTTTTACTAAAAACGATGTAACATACTATTTTCACCGATGACATTCTTTTTATGTGTCTAAATCAATTTAACTAATTAATTCGTCATTTTTTTTCTCAATTAATGTCATACTATTAATTTATCTCTATATACAATTATTTTATATTTAAACTTTTCTTCCGTGACAAGTACAGATTCATCGTAACATTTTCATTTTTAAACACTTTTCCCATCTCTCGTGTTATTTCTTTGAAAATCTAACATTCACTATCATATAATAATATAGTGAAATGTAGTACCGGACTATAAAAGTTCCTTTTAAGTTTGGTGGGTAAGTTATAATTATAAACATCCTCTAATGCCTTTCTTCATTTTATCCATTTGGTTTGTCTCTTGAGTGACACGCATCTTCATTAATTTTGTTATTTTTGTAATATTACTTTAGATATTTAAATTTAGAAACTTGTGGAATGGGAGAACATGAACATGGAAGAATGAATCCATGGGAACTAAGAAGAGAAAAGTTGGCATCCGTAAAAAAACCCACGTAGAATGGAAATGATGGAAATTAAGACATCATTGTCCGTGACATCTGATATGGTATCTGGTCAAAATAATTTTACATGTGTCGAGTGTGTGGAAAAATCTAAACCACGATCCACTGGCATGGAAAAAGGCTTTTTTGAGTAACACGCGTCAAAATGCTCATTGTTGCGCCATATGTTCACATGTACCTTTCATTATAGTTAGCCTCACACCAAAGTTATAACTTCATAAGTGACGTACGATTGACACCCTAAATATTAATCATTAATTCCAAACCCAAATCCATTTGTAATCTTAATCATTTGAAGAGTTGGACACTAAACATTAATAGCAGTGAGACTCTTCTAAATGCTGTTGTACGAGCATATTGTTTAGGAATTTGGGTTTTGTAGGCACACAATCTTGTAAAACTCAATTTTAAATCGAGAATTTGGTTATATTATTAATTAATACATGATCTCTAAAATATTTTTTTTACGTTAAATATTAGATATATTGAGTGTTAGAATAAATTTTAATAATATATTGGAATGTAGATTGTGTTTAACTTAATTTTACAAAATCAGTTAAAAAAGTGTGGATTAATTTACTTGTATAGTCTATTTTAATTATATTATTAGTAATATAAGATTTTTAATAATTCTAACAACAAAAAATCACGTGTGTAGTCATTTAACACAGAATCCTTCTCGTTTAATTAGAGATTTCCATTCAAGTTTTGAATGTAACTATATGGTACGTTTAAAACAAAATTAATTATCTTCGATAAATATTCATAATAATTATTTAATTTGAACATGATTATCTCTTAAAAAATGTGTAGAGAGAGTGTTTCACTGTTTCTAATATTAATTTATCTTTTAATTATTAGCAACTTAATTAAAAGAGTTGGATGGTAAACAATGTTGAGATTAATTAATTATTGTTCTGAATGCCACTATTTTTTTTCATGAGTTCTGAATGCCACTATAATATACGAGAATATTGATATTGACAGAGTATGTGAATTACTTGACATGATATATTATTCCAGTTTTATTAGAAGTTTTGAATACCAACTACATATAACTTGAGCATAAATATTTTTTCTATGAATATTAATTTGTAATAATTTTACCCTACTCGAATAATTTTTTTCCTGACAAAAGATATCAAAGTGAATCCGAGGCATTGTTAATTCCTTTTCAAATTAATATATGCCAGGATTAATAAGGTTAAGACAACGACTAGAACATTTAATTATACATGATTTTGAAAAAGGGTCCTTGGTTTTCAAAGTTTCTTCTTTTCCTCTACTTAATCATGACTAGAGAAGAAGTATTTCAGGGTTTGCGTTGATGTTGCCAGCTGCACACTCATCGGTCCAACACTTCACCAACTTTACAAAACTGTCTTATATATATATATTTTAGTAATAGCAATATATGCTAATTATTTATATGATAAAGTTAATATAGTACTCAATCGGACAAATATAAGAAAAACATAGTGGGAATTGGTTGTATTTACGTAAACAACAAACCAATAATAGTCGACAAATAACTTGGTGGCTTAGTATCATAAGCCATCATTAATCTTCACAAAAAAGATAATAATAAAGTTTACAATGTGCACCTTCGGGATCTTGAAGTGGTTCGCATGTCACTTTTAGCCGGCACTAAGTTTTTGATCCAAAGACAAGTGTTTCAACCGTGTGTGCTACCTTTTGTTATCATTGGCACACTTAATAAACCTTATCTCCATCTTCGTGACCCTTCAAGCCATGCATAGACATGAAATAAAAACCATAGAAAGTGGAGGAGAATTAATTGTGGAGCTAGCTTTGTTTGATAGTGTGAAAGAAAAAGAACCTTTTCAACGTGGGGGCAAAAACACACGTCCACAGTAACGTAAGACCATTTGTGTCGGCTTTTCACATGCCAGATATATTATGTATACGTGCTTTTTCTTCCAAGCAACTGAGATTTAACGTTCAAACTCGTGTCGTTTTGCTATCGACAAATGATACTCATTCATTGCTTTTGTACGACAAAAATTACACTTTAAGAAAAGGGTTAACGAAAATATAAATGTTGAGCCAAATAAATACCGTGTCAAAGAAAGCCGAAAAATAAGGTATGAAAAATGTTATCAAATTGTTTCCATTTACCCTTAAACATAGTAGTTAGAATTGGGTTAATTGGCAACCGGATACTAGATTAATTGGTTTAATATTATGAAGAGATGTAAATAGATTTTGTTTTTAAAATATTAGTTAATTTTTTTATATTAAAAATTTAAAACAATAATAATTTATTATTATTTAATAATATTATTATTAAACTTTCAACCATTACCTTTTGCAAAATGTACCTTGAATAATTGTTTTCGTCTGTTCCTTTCAACCTGCCCTTGGATTTTGACAAACAGATGCACACATTAGAATCTTAAAAATTTGACATTTACAAAAAATAAATATTTTTTCTTCGATTAATATTGGGTTAGATATTTTTGGTCCAAATTCAACCGTACCCATCTTATACGCATTTCTATTTTTTTAATTAGTGAGAAAAAAAAGGAGAGAAATTAATGTTCTCTAAAAAGTAATAGTTCTTATAACGTCAACAAATATTATATACTCTCATATCAAGATATGAGGAATGTCAAAGAATGATTCTCTATGATTTCTTTGTTTATTAGTCAATCTAAGTGTTTTCTTCTTGGAAAGTATGTTGGAAGAATAGATTAGTTGTTTTGAATTAAATATGAGTTGGGTTGAATGTAATTTTTTTTCAAACACACACTAACTGTGTGTTTGTTTTTCCGTTTGGTACAGTTAAATGTGGGTTCATTTTAAAACATCAAGACTCATACTTTTTCATTTCGTTATTTTGGAATGCACGCCACCGATTATACAAACACATACTAAGTGTTTGGTTTTCCACTTGAAAATTCAAACCAACGTTCATCTTTCATTGAAGGTTGCACTCACTTGTTTGGTGGTTTCTTTTTTCTATTGAGTTGAATCTCATTTTTTCCTAAATATTTGTTCCAACCAAAGCAACATGGGACTTGTTTCTCAGTTGAACAGATATTACTTGGAAAAATAGCTGTACTATTTAAATTTCATGGAGATCATTATCCTTTCGAGTATCTCCAACTTGAAAGGTGCAAGCTTATTCAAAAACTTTTATTTTGATAATAGTATTTTTAGAATAAAAGTATCAAAACATATTAATCAAGTTACACTTGACTTATGTTTACATAATAAATTTCAACCAAGCTTAATTTTATAAACTGTAATGTAAATACACACTAACCAGTGGCATTATGGTTTCATAATTAAGTTAAACAAGTAACAAAAATAATGTTATGATATTATGTGTGTCTTATTTGACTTGCTCCATGGCTGAGCTTGTACGTACTTTGCCTTACACAAGAGTG